CTGGATCTACCCTTTTTTCTTCCCTGTTTGCATTACGCCATTCCACGCATAATTGCTAATTGAAGCTTCCATTTGTCATATAAATGTAAAACAATGCAGGTTACCGGTTTAGATATGCAGTATAGCCAATGCTGTCATCTGTTCTTCAAATGAGAGACAAAATATTCGCCATAAAGTGGGGGAGGGGATAGATAAATTGATTTATTGAAAGAGAGAGGGAGAAGGAGAGAGGTGTCTATATCATTAGACTCGCCCTTCTGGGACGGTGACTACCATTCTCGGTATGTTGTATAAAATTGTCTTCTTCCTCTTGTCAGCTCTTCAAAAACATATGCACGAATGAAGAGACGCCGGAACCTGAGGGTCTAGGACCTTCAGCCCCCCCCCCCCCCCCTTCTCAGAAAATTTAAAGAAAAAGGCTCAGCCCCTTTTATTTGTAGGCGGGCTAAGACATGCAGTTTGTAAACTTGACACATAATGGCTGGACACTCACACCAAATTGTATCCCTAAAACTCGCTTCATCGCCTCTCTAGATATTACAGTATTTAATACTGAGCCTAAGGACAGGGCACAGCAGAAGTCGCCAACATATGTTCACATGTTTTCCTTACAGCCTGGCACCTAAAAATGCTTGACATCTACTCCATCACTTCAAACTATGCTGCTAACAGAGAAGCAATCTAGCATCTTCGAACCTCAGTGAGGATAAAGCTGTATGACACGCAAGGACATTTGAAGAATCGAAGAAGAGGAAGTCTGGTTCTAAACTCCGACGGGAAGTTTTGATTATAGGCCCCCTTCTGGGCTTTGACCTTGTTCCAAGACTTGAATCTAGCGTGCACATTCGTTTTAGAAATCTGACTTATTTGCATGCAGACTATTAGTTCCGCCGAACTAACTATCTGCTCTCAGGAAGATGCACTGGTATTTCGAAGGAAACACCCTTAATTAGTAGCTTTTAACGATATGCTTGGAAGAGAGGATGATGGGTATGCACCTCATATACCCCCTCCATCCCAGTATTGGGAGCCGGAGCCAACAAGGAAAGGATGAGCTATGAGTTTGATTATCTTCACGGTGGCCGCCCTGCGTTAATTTCGGCCGTGGTATCGAGCGCCGACCGTTTACTTACAATGGCAATCTACTGAATAGAAACATTGCCTAGTGGGTACAATTAACGAAGTCGAGCCCAGGCAGACCGTGGCTGACCGTTCATTCATACATCTTAACCTTTGAGACCCGCTAGTCTTAGCCAAAGGGGTGTCAGGTTGTATTGTGTCGACGCTCTCACCGGCGATCACATGCGTTCTAAAAAAACAGGATACAACCTGTTTTAATGACCCCAGAATATCTAGAACTGGTCCTAACCACAACCCACCCCCCCCCCTCCACCCCCACAGGTTCAGCGTACGTCCAACGAGGGACTGCACTTTACGTGCCGTGGTTTCAGAAGTGTTAACATTTTGCGGTAGCATCACAAGATGGTTGTTCGAACAGCGTCTGCTTGACGGTAGAATGACATGTTGTTGCAGAAAAGCAACGCTTCTCTCATCGTTGGTCATCAACCGAAGTAAATTCATTTCGTACTTGGAGTCCGAGAACGCCAGAATATACGCAATCGCTCAGAATAGCGAGTAAAACACAACGTGTATCTGTCTGTCCGTCAACATATACATAGCAGAAGGTATTGGTAGAACACAACCTGACTCCCCTCTAGCTTAGACTAACGCGTCTCAAAGGTTAAGACGCCTGAATGAAGGTCCAATCACGGTCTTCCTGTGCCCGACTTCGTCACTTGCACCCCCTAGTGAAATCATGAACAGTCAAAAAATGCTGAGGTCGGTTCAGAAAAGTTTTGCAAAGAGTGCGCACCTTCAACAGACACCCCTCCCTTCCCCACTCCTACCTAATATAAAACGCTCAACGTGCCATGGCTAACAGTAGCAGTCATGCTAGTTGACAAGACTTCTCGTGCCTAATGTGCCACTCGCATGTGGATATTTACTCCTAGTTCTTGCAAATTCTCCAATCGTTCCCCCTTTCCCCACTCTCTCTTAGGCAGTTGGGTAAAATCCATTTTATACATAACACCCAGATTTCCTCGTAACAAGATAGTTTTCGGGATAATCTAAGATTATAATCCCTCGCCACGCCTCTAGCCAGACTCACACACTCAAGCTGATCTATATATTCCTAGATGTGTCTATAAAGGTCGTTGCCTTTCATCTTATTACGTCTGCCGTCAGACACTGTCTCCTGATGTCTGAGTTTCTCCACAACACATGGTTTCTTCAGAAGTTGTATACCTATGCTTTTAGTTTTTGTCACTATTGCCTCCATCAGACAGCTCCGACCTTCTGGGACTGATAAAAAAATCCACAATATGACTGATATCTTCTTCCTCTTTGTGCTCACTGGCTGTAAACTCTGGCAGAAAGTTCTGGTTGTTCGTCCACTTCTGGACTTAATTCTTGTTTCAGAACTTGAGTTTTATGTGCACATCTATTTTACAGATCTGACTTATTTGTATGCACACTACAGTTTCCTTGCCTCTCAGGCAGATGCACTCCGACTTTAAAGGAAATACTCCCAATTAGTCAACCTTTAAGATATGATTGTTAAGGGAAACAATTAAATGGGGATAAATATCAAGTCTATTTAATATTCAAAGCCCAGATATTTCGAAGAGTTCTCGATGGGATTTCTACTCAGTTTTATTACTTTGGTTTCATTTTTGCACAAGTATGTATAAATTTTAAATATCTGTTATAGCAGTTGTAGTAATTTTTAAAAAAATATCCTGTTCAACCTTTCTGTGACGTAATTTTTTATCTTCTCAGATACTGGACATTTATGTTTGTCTAAAACTAACTATCCCCGTTTTTACCATTTATAATATTATCTGTATAATTTTGAAATGCCTTCTAATCAATTTAATACACAAGGATGTCACCAACTAAGACTGATTTAAAACATAAAAATGTCAGGAATTTTACTAAATGCTTTTATTGATAAGTATAGTGTCTCTTAAATTAACAGTTTTACTTTAAAAAAAAAAATTAAGTAACATCAGTGGAAATAAAGATAACAGCTAAAATTTGAAATAAATTTGCAAGTTTTAATGAACACCTAATTTGCAGACAAATATTGTGACAAGCTATGTGCAACAACCAAAAAAAAAAATTATTTAACAAATTAACAAATTTCTACCTGTTTCTTACAGGTGTAAATTAAACACAATAGCAACAATTTTGCATTAAATAGGAAAGTGTTAATTAACCATTAATTCTTCTTCAAGTCCATGCCATGTAGTCATGTCTATCCACAAACTTCTGTCTTGTGTACTTTCAATCAATTCTGACACAGATGATCCTCAATGCCATGATGTCAAACTGTCCAGCATCTGTTTTCTCGGTCTCCTTCTGTCTCTCCTCCACTACAACTTTCCTACTAGCATGATGTACTCTAGTTTTCTTCTTCTCATCACATGACCAGTTAATTAGCAGGGAAATATTATGACATGCTATGTAGAAAAAAAAATTCTAAACAAATTAACAAAATACTGTTAATGCCTTATTATACATCAACATGTATTGGCACCAACTGTTCTGAAATCCCCAGAATTTATTTTGGAAGACGGTCAAGTGGAGCTGGTCTGGCCAGTCACAAGCACCATCACCATGGATAATGATTCCCATGCTAATCTATAGAACAATATAATGATGGCATCTGGAATCAACAAATTAACTTTGTCTGGAAAGAACTTTATACAGAATTCTACATGGAAAGACATGGAGTTACCAACTAATTTAGCTAATTTTGGTTTATTCAGCATGTGACCAATAGAGCACCGTGTTTAGGTTTTTATAAAGCCTGTGGCCAGGGTTGCTAGTTTAGTTGGTTAAACCGGACTTCACGGCGACTGGGTGACAAACTCCTTGAGGTCCAGGTTCATACCAGGTGTAGGCAGAAAAGCCACATTTCTCCAAGATTTACAGTATCTATCATGGCGTCAAGGCAGAAGGGTTGCAATATCCATAGTACCGAGCCAAAGGGTTAACAACTCATGTTTTCTGGATATTTAAAAAAAAATACAAAAACACAGCATGTGACCAATAGAGCACTGTGATTAGGTTTTCTGCCAGCAAAAATTTGTTTGTAGACAAAATAAAGGCTATGGATTCATATCAAACACTATATTTTCAGGGGTCTACTATCACATATTTACTAACACCAGATCAGACTGGTGCAATATTGAAAATCGAAACAAAAATAAGTCCTGATCCTCAAATAATGTACTCCAAGGGAATGTAACAGCATTTAAAATAAAGTATTAAATAGCTTTTGAAGTAGGAGATAGGTTAATATATGAATTGTCCAGCAAATCATAGTATTCCAGTGATGAAGCATTAGGTGGGTTAACACTGACAACAAACAAGGGTTTATTATTCATGACTTCATAATTTGATTTCTTTCCTCAGCTTCTGGGTATAACTTTTTCTAAACTTTAACATTTCTTGTACATGAAAATTAATTTGTTGCTGCTACTACCTTCTTATATTGTTGCTGCTTACATGGTACTGGTGCCCTCTGTGAGCTAATGAGATCAACAGCTTTAATGTAGCATGCATCTGAAACGTAGCAAAAAACTGAAAAATCATTTGTTACTTGGATAGTCTTTGTTTGTTTGTTTGTGTATCCAGAAGCCATGAGTTGTTAACCCTTAGGCTCGGTATTATGGATATCGCAACCTTTCGGCCTTGATTCCATTGTAAATACCGTAAATCTGGGAGAAATGTGGCTTTTCTGCCTACCCCTGGGAGTGAACCCGGACCACAAGGATTTTGTCACCCGGTCACCGCGCAATCCAGTTTAGCGAGCCGGGCCTTGGATAGTCTGAAACTGAAGGGGAAAAAAATATAATGTCCCATCTTTAAAAAAATTATCTTACCTTTCAAATATTAAGTCTTTCTCTATGAGCCCTGCTTCCATCTTCTGATTAGTGACATAGGTCAAAAACATCGATACAATTGTCCAGATAATTAATGACATAAAGAAGACCATCTGAGGTCAGGTGAATGCCAGATGGACGACGTATTGGAGACGACAGTGTAATCACAGTCAATATGTTGCCATCATTGGTAAATACCTGGAAAAATAAATGAATTAAAAACAATGCCACAAAATTATCTGAGTTCATAATAATCATCAGGAAAATGTTCACGGGTCTAAAATAAAAAAGGGGTTGAGGCAGGACTGTTTAGTAAATGTTATTTTTTTTTGTTTAGAGCACATTTGAAATGGTAATGTTTAGGTTTCAGCCTCTGACTAGTAAAAGTAATGTTTATGTGTAGAGCCACTGTCTAATAAAATAATGCTTCTGTTTATAGCTCATTTGGTAACTGTCATGTTTATAGACTCTGCCTCATAAAAGTAATGGTTCTATTTAGAGCCTCTGACTAGTAAAAGTAATGTTTATGTTTAGAGCATGTTCATAAAGGTTATATTTGTTGAGAGATGACTGCTGACCAAACCTAGTTGAGATTTTTTTTAAATCTTAATTATGCAACATAACTCTACCATCATATTTCAAGAGTGGTATTTGTCTCATTTGCTGCTGTGTGTTGCTATCAAATGTTTATGCCTGAGTTCTTATTCCCTTGATTAAACATGTACCAGCCACATACTCCAACGGAAGCCTCATGACAAAGCACATATTGTTTTTCTATGTTTATTCATGGACCAATGTAAAGTCAGTTCACTAGTAATGCGATTTTTCTTGTCTGGTTGCCTGATATTTGTCCGAACTATCTTATAATAATTGTTTCGTTTATAAAAATCATAACACATACACATACAAAACATACAAAGAGCTCTTCACTAACTCTTATGACACCCAGGGGCTAGGTGGAACTCTATTCACCTTCATAAACTTTAAGTCCTATTTAAAATTTTTTTCAAAATACAGCTGTAATTAAATGTTTATAAAAATCAGCCTTTTAAACATAATTTCTCAACCCTGATAATAAAAAGTTTCATGTATTTAAAACTGTATTCTAACAGCAGTAGCATTACTGCAGATATGTTTCTTGAGACTACAATAAGCAACAATTATCATGAGTTTAATGTTTCTTCTCTTATCTTTTTGCTGTCTCTGACCACAAAGGAGACTTTCTAGCATACACACCACATTCCACTTCTGCATGAGCTCTTCCTTCTTTTTTTCTCTTGCATTTCCCCTTAAGTGTGGTAGGCAGGTAGAGTCATGGTTTACAGCTAGACTGCAATATCTGGACCTTTCAGCCTAACACATTGAATGTCAGCAAACTTCACAAATTCATCGCCTCTTACATGCTCGTTAGGGTGGCAGTGGGTCTATTTTTTCCCCCTCCATAACCCACAAGAGAGAGGGTTTCCATTACATCTTTCCCTTTTAGGATATCAGTTTCTGCCTGTATAATGTCTACATGTATGTGCACAAGCCAAAAACTTTTTTCTAAGCATACTCTAATAACACAATTTATTTTCTGCTCCTTCTAAACTTACCTGTAGCCGGTTGTTCTTACTGTCCCCTACAATCCAGTTCCCCACTGCATCCACAGTAATCCCTGAGGGTTCTTTTAAGTCTCCCATACGATCTCCATACTGACCAAAAGACCTCAATGTTTGTCCATTAAGAAATGATAAATGCATGCAGCTGGCACCTGGAAGTTTCACAATTGTGCTTTAAGTTAGCTATTATAAAAAAAAACTTACTGATCAAGATGCATAAATGCCCACGTCAGTCTGCAGCGCACCTGAGTGTTGCATGCACATCCATTTGACATACCTGAATTATATGTATGCAGATGCACTCTGACTCTGAAGTCAGCTCCCCAATCAGCGGACTCTTATGACATGCTTGTTGTGGAGGCAATGGGTCTATTCTTGTTTCCCCCACAACTGGGCCCTGGAACCCACACAGGGAACTACTATGGTTAGCATGCATTTACAATTGCAGCATTTTCAATTCAACTGCTACTAAATTAAATTCAGTAGCAGTATAACAATCACAATTTTAGCTACTATTAAACGAACCTACTTTTGAGGACATGCTTCCAGAAATGTGTAGATATGACTATATCAGGGAAAAATATAAAACTGAACGAAAAGTATATCAGCAAGCTTCACAATATAACAAACACAAACAAAACATGTTTTTTGTTGTTGTTGTAATTTCACATAGAAATGATGCTAAACCATTACCATGTATCAAACAGACACCATGTATAAAACAGAATCAGGCATGGTCACATATCCCTCTGTGGGCAGACTTAAAAATGTAGGCAAGGCAGCAAGCAGTCTGTTCAACCAATTTCTACCTGTCATGGACATTTTTACATGTAAAACATGCATACTGGACCTCTCAGTTTTCAGTTTGTCTTAAAAAATTATAGGATTTGATTCACTACACTGGTATCGAGTGAAAATATAGCTTTATTAGCTTCTTGGGAGTTTAATTTACAGGGTTATTCAAAAGGATGGATACATTTTAATTAATGTATATTTCCTTGAATATATATAACATATAAGCCGAACTCATCCCACACACAAAGAAGCATCTCCTGTGTAGCTGAGTTCACTGAAAGTGTATCCATCATTTTAAAAAACCCTGTATAGTTGGTAAGGATAATTTCCTTGGATACAGGTCAACTCATTCTTTATACAATTCTAATTAGGAGGTGGACAATTAACCCGTAAAGATGTTACACAAAACCTTCTTGTAATCTGTCTCCACAACAAAGGCTAGCTGCAGTGCACACACTGCTGTCTTCAGGAATAATTTGTAGAGAGACCTCAGTCTCTTCCACGGTGTGACTCTTATACAACTGCCCAGAATCCAAGAGGACTGTCCATTTTTTCTTTAAAAACTGTCCGTCCCGGAAATCAAACCAAAGACTATGGCCATTCAAACAAAGTATATGACCCTTGTGTACACAGTTTTTGCTTCTGTCACCTGCCATTTTCTTGATATGCTCCAGCTATTTCAGTCTATCTGCCCTCATGATGTCAATTATCAGTGGTGACATCCTTAAGGATATACAAATTTTCTTCAGTATCATCTTCCTAATCTTCAGAGGATGTGTACACATTAATCATCATTTCCTTTTCCCCTTTTCCTTTCATATGTAACTTAAGGATCCTATCATTGACAGCATAAAAATTTATAATGCTTTCTTATAAATTTTTTTTTAAACAACACATCTTGTACTTAAGTTCATGTGTGTGTTGAGTGATTCCTCCATATCCTACCATCACTTAATTTCTTTCTATGGTACCCTGTCCTGGCAACTTTATTTCTTAAATAGCTGCTATATCCATTCTGTAATCTGATAGCTCACGAATCAGGCCTGTCCAATTCTTTAGAGTGTGGCTTAATCTGTTTTATGATGAAAAAAGGCTTCATGAAGACAGGAGTATCATCTTCCAGCCCTCAAGCTGGAGGACCAGTGTGTCTATATGAGTTCTCTGCCCTTTAACGTGTCTGACTTAGAAGGCCCTTCTGCTAGCTATGCTACTGCTGACATAGCTATCATGGTAATCAAGAAGCACAAGTCATGGTGTAATCACCAAGGTGGGGGAAAAACTACATAAAGTTAGTTGCGTATCCTTTACAGGACGTTGCAGAACCAACCCCAGCATTTGTTGGCTGTTGTTGTTTTCTAAGCAAATTTATGTCCAGTAGTTTGCCATTGCTTTTTAGAAGTTTAGCTTCTCGATACCACTGTCCAAACCATCGAAAGGCCCGCAGCTGGGATCAAACCCAGCACCCCCATCATTACGAAGCACACTCCCAACGTCTAAGCCACATATACCGATGATGCTTACTAAAAAAGTAAAATAATTTATTAGCTGAACTTTAATAATTTCTCTGTCTCTTTACAAATCACAATCATGACAATATATATATATATATATATATATATATATATATATATATATATATATATATATATATATATATATATATATATATATATATATATATATATATATACACGCGCGCATGCACACACACAACACATGTGAAAGAGTAAACTATTTACCCAAATCACTGACAAGCATCACATTCTCATGCACTGCAAGAAATCTTAATTTGCTGAATGGAGAACTGAATTCTTCTGTAGGCCCGTAGGTGTATGACTCTAGTCTTTTTTCTCTGATGAAATAGTTGAACACAACAGTCTTTCCTCTTCCTGAATCCAATGTCACCAAGATGGGCTGATTCTGATGTTTCGCTAAAGCCAGACCTGAAATCAATGTTTTCAATAGTTACGATGCAATCAGTCTTAATTATCATGTCCTGAAAATGTTCTAAAAACGATTAGTTTGCAGATCCTCCTCAGGGTGTCGCAAACCAAACCCAGCAATTTGTTTAGTGTGGGTTTACTAGGCAATTTTATAATCAGTATTCTGTCACTACTTTCTTAAAAGTATCATGTCCACAACATTGCTACCATCCTGTTAACCTCACTCTCTAGGTCCATTTTCAGTGTGTGAATGCGTGAAACTATACCCAACTAAAACCGCACACCAAGTGACCAACACCCGGTGACACACAGTGTTATGCCCACAACATTGCTAAAATGAACACAATATGGTCTGCTACCAAACTGACTAAAGCTGACTTTCAACCCTGGTATGTTGGGATTGTAACACTGTGTTCATAACACTAAACCACTGACATCAACTAATGATATGCATGCCCTTTCATTACAAACAAAACATAATGACTATTGATATTGGATATTGATATCAGATCGCACAATACCAGCAAAGTGATCATGCAAGTTATTAACACAATTTAAATTAAACCAGTTTCATTTTCAACATGATTGTTGCAAAATTCATTTTCTAAATAACCACACACAAAAAGCATTAAAAAAATAAATAAACAATACCAAAAGGGTGGCTGAAACGTGATTTTCCAACAGTTTCCAATAGCTTTCCTGTGCGATCAAATATCTGGATGCTTCTATCATCCTTGACATAAATATTTCCCTGCGTATCTGTGACAACAGCAGAAGGTCTCACAAAAAGCACACCATCCTAATGGAAATATTCAAACAAAAACCAATGGGCAACATATCTATGCAGAAAAAAAGACGGAACTAGAAACGAACTCAGGCCCAGCTCCACCCAGCTACACACTAGGTGACCTGTCATTGATGATTGGTCAGGCTGGTCTACATTAGAGGAGTGTAGAATGCACTCTCTTTTGGGACCTAGGTTTAATGTGTTGGGTGGGGAGTTGATTGGGGTTAGGGTCAGTTGTAGATGTTATGGGGGTCATTTAAACTGCTCACATCCTGTAACAAAAAGCCAGGTGGTCACCAGTAAAACTGTTGAGATAGTACAACGTCGCACCAACTTGACATCCTTGCCACTTGAACTTATACGTCTCAAAGGTTAACAGGCATGAATGAACATCCAATCAGTGTTTTAGCCCAACTTCGTACTTCATAAGTGTATAGCTGTGCAGAGCTGGGACTGAGTTCATTACATGATTCAGCAAGACAACATTGATAGATGAGCTAAAATCAATGCAGTCAGGACACACCTATACAAGATCCGACAATTAAGTAAGACGACTAATTCCATAAAAATTAAAATAATCAACAGTTGAAGATATAATCTGTATTTTATTCAAAGTAAGCCCTTTGTGCATTGATACAGCAAGTGGCCTGATCTAACAAACACTGGAATGACCTCTGTAGTTCTTCTGATGTTATGGACCCTAAAGTCGATGTTACTGCCCTTTGAATGTCATCAATATCGTCAAAGAAGCGTCCTTTCAATGGTAACTTTAATTTTTGGAATAGAAAATAATCATAGGGAGACACATCTGGGTAGTAGGTTGGATGGTTAGGAACACACACTTGTATTTGGGGCTGAAAAATTTCTGTTCAGCTACCGCCCGGTGAGCCAATGCATTGCCATGAAGAAGGAAAAAACTTCCAGGTGCTGAATATTCGGGCCGGACTCTGAGAATCCTTTTCAATAGACGTTACAAAATACTTAAATAAAATGTGGCTCTAACAGTCTGTCCCTCTTGAATAAATTCTTTGTGAATAACTTTAAGAAATCTTTTTTTCTGTGAAACGTTTTGATGATGTCTTTTGCGTACTCAACATGCTGATGTTTTTTGGTCATCAGACAAGGAATGTGGTACAAACCGGCAAGCAACTTTTTTCTTGCTCAAATCTTTCACTTAAATTGTATGAATTCTCTATTAAAATCCAATTCATCCGCCATCATACTCACAGTCAAACAACGATCTTCTTGTATCCATTCTCTGACTTTTGCAATGAGTTCCTTATAATGAACAGAAATTGGGTGTCCAGGTTTAGTTGCATTAGTAATCATTTCTACACCACTTATAAATCGTGAATACCACCTGAAAATCTGTGCACGAGATAAACAATTATCCCTATAAACATGTCGCATCAATTCAAATGCGCCAATGGCGCCTTTTCTGAGTTTTAAACAGAATTTAATGCTAGCTTTTTGTTCCATGCTGATTATGTAACAATGGACAATAGGTCAATAAAAATGGCAGCTTGTTTGTCGTCTGCTTTTCAGGCGGCGTTGCAAAGTTGCCAGATCTTAGATCTTCTTTGAATTAAATGCTTTGCTTAATATATGACATTTTTGTCTTGGCCATAATAAAATCAGTCTCAACCCTTAAGTGTCGGACCTTGTATGTGTCTTCTTATTTATTTCTTTTTCTGTCCCTTATCTCCCAACTGAGCAAATGCACTCAGCTTAACTCATGCTAAGTTAAAATATCTTTTGCTATTACATGCAGCTCACTCCATGTCCTCCCCATCCTGTTAACCTCACTCTCTAGGTCCATTTTCAGTGTGCGAATGAGGGAAGCTATACCCCACTAAAACCGCACACCAAGTGACCAACAGCCGATGATACACAGTGCAATGTGTCATTATTTGGATGAGAATCCCCCATGTAAGCATCCCAAAAATCCCATTTAACTGTGAGGTTATATGGGGGCCCCTTGTGGTCACAATGTAACCTGAAGTCCAGACAGAGTATGGATAAGTTTGAAGTTGATCCATGTGTTTTTTTGGTGTCTATATATCCATGTTCTAGTGGATTCCAGTGTAAAGACATTTTTGTTGAACTGATTGCAGGATTTCTCAGTGTGTGTCTTGTCCAATGCCACCATCCTGATTCACTGGAACTTGTTTAATTCTCTCACAAAACTCCACACTGGTGATTCTATCATACCATGTACCTCCTCTATTCTACACAGACACCAGTTAATGAATGTTTGCTGTTTATTATAACTGTTTTAGCTGTTCTCCCTGTTTCAGCTAAATACTGCAGTGCTGTATTCATCTTTTAATATCCTTTTCAGTTACTCCATCTTTATCTATTTCACTGACTAAATACGAACTGGATATCAGTCTCGGCAAAAAGTGTAGGGACAGTTTCCAAAATGCATTGATTTGTCTCTGATATGCTCATAAGTGATCACAATTGCTACTGCTACAAGTGATGCAAAATGAGAAGTCTTATTTGCTATGCACCTATATGTGCCTGTAGCAACATATCACATATCAAGTGGGAAGAAAGTGATGGGGGAGGGGGAACACATACTTAAAATTGATTATTTTCATAAATTTAATTTAGATAAAATAAAGAGGACCCAAACAATATTTTCATTATCATATGCAATGCTGATAAGCAATGGTGGCCATGGTTTGCCATCTCCACACAAGAATCATTGAGAAGGTCACTACATATGTCACCCATACATGCGGCAAAGCCATCCTGGCAATTATCTATTTTCCGGTTCCTGGTTTCTCAGGCAGATGCACTCCTACTTTGAAGGAAACACCCCCAATTAGTCTGCTTTTTACGACATGCTTGTAGGGGGCAGTGGGTCTATTATTCCCACCCCCCCCCCCCCCCCCCCCCCCCCCCCCCCCCCCCCCCCCCAAATGGGGCCCCGGAAGCCATACAAGAACGTTCCAGGATTGACCCAGATGTGTACCAGACAATTTGCAGAATTTTCTGGGAAGTTTCTTGGATAAAAAGGTGACAAGAAAGGGACTGGCTACCACGTTGTAGCTTAAATATGTAAATACAAATAACTTCACATCCCAATGGCTGTATCTGCTTTAAGTCTATCTTTCCTTAACAAAACAGTATTGCTACAGAATAGTTTTTCTTCTTTGCTTTTGACGAGTGGTGGACAATCCTGATTGTTCATCCACTTCTGGACTGGTCTTTGTTCAAGGACTTGAATTTTGTGAGCACATCCATTTTACAGATCTGGCTTATTTGTATGCAGACTGCTGGTTCCTTGCCTCTCAGACAGATGCACTCTGACTTCAAAGAAACCATAAAAAACTGCAGTGAAATGGAATGTTGACACATGCAATTATACTTCACACTTACATTTTGTCCAATGGTGTGCAGCAAGGTATTTCTGTTCAAAATCTTCACCACATGATTACCAGTGTCAGCAACCACCACATGGCCATCCACAGTGACAGTGACTCCAATAGGGTGGTTAAATGATGTAAAGCTGCTGCCATCTATGGTCTGTACACGGCGTGCAAAGATATCTAAAACAGAGAAAAAGGTATGAATCTCAACTGAGCAGCGGTCTATTAAACTAGACAACAATATCCTGGCACTGACATGAAAACAACTAACCATTACTACAGCTGATGGGAAAAGTCTAGAACAAATACCAAATTTTTCCTTTCTTCAACATGTAATAATGTATGATGGCAGAAGTGAAAAATAGAAATCTAAAGAATGACAGAAACAAATTAAAAAAAAAAAAAAAAATATCCTGTGAAAAATACAAACATTTAGAAAGATAAAACAATGCATTAAAAATCAAAACTATCAAATGTTTATGTGTGTGTGTGTGTGTGTGTGTAGAGAGAGAGAGAGAGAGAGAGAGAGAGAGAGAGAGAGAGAGAGAGAGAGAGAGAGAGAGAGAGAGAGAGAGAGAGAGAGAGAGAGAGAGACTTAAAACCTACTGTAGAGTATAAACATTGGCAACAAACAAGCAATTACAAAGTCATACTGAGGCCATGGATATGTGGAAAAACAGGCCACACTTCACAGGGAAAACTAAATGTTTTCCCTGTGAAGTGTGGCCTGTTCTTTTTCTCTGTTCTAGGTGACTGGGGCTGAAAACATTAAAAATGAAACAAGCAAAAAACATAACATAACAAGAGCAAGACAGTGACACAAGGGATAGGATAACACTACAAGATTGAATGACAGTCTGAATGAGTACACAACTGAGTGAGTTGGAGATCCACTGTAGTAGTCAACCTTAACTGTAGAGATGGTACCTGACTGAATAATAAAGTGAAAATACATGCAAATGTTTTTTATCAATGCACATTTTTTTACGATGGTGGTTTGAAAAGTAATACCTTCAATGAAATAACTTTGTTAACAGCGCGTCAGGGACAAATGATTCCAGTGTGAGAATACTGAATGAGTAAGTGACTTTTAAGTGTGGAAAGTGCCAAATTATCCAACGGTATCCCAGTGGTGACATACATGGAGATTCAGTCAAAGCAACGTGCTGTTATTGAACATCTGATGGCCAAAGGCTGTGTACCCATCGACACCCTTTGAAGAATGTGAATGGTATATGGTGACGCCTGTGTGGATGTCAGTAATGTGTGTGGATGTCAGTACTGTTAAGAGGTGGGCAAAGACCGCAAAAAGGCAGAGATCAGACTCGCAGAAGATGACAGATCACACAGGGGTAGACAAACAGCGGCAGCATTCAAGTGTCTCAACTTTGACACAATTTTGGAGCATCCAGCCCCGATTTGGCCCCTTGTGAGTTTTTTAATTTCCCAAAGCTCAAAGAACATCTTAAGGGGAACATATATGCTTCTGACAATTATATGGCAGCTGAGTGCGTTACTGGTTTTGTGAAAAATGTCCAATTTTTTACTCTCGATGGGATGCAATAACTTCACTCTGGTGGGTGGGTGTGTGTGAGAGTGTGGAACGTGGTGGTGACTGTGTAAAAAAAATAATGACAACTTACTTAAAGGATTTCCTAAGCTTTCAGAAAATGTAATGTTTTGTGTGTATATTGTCGGCGTCTGTGGCTTAGGCGTTGCGAACGCACTTCATAATGCCAGGGTGCCGGGTTGGATCCCTGCTGCGGACGATTTGTCTTGCGTTGGTTTCGGCATCGGTACCGAGAGCTAACAGTTCAGGAAGCAATGGCAAACTACTGAACGTAAAATTGCATAGATAAACCACAACAGCCACAAAATGCTGAGGTTGGTTCTGCAACATCGTGTAAAGGATACCCAACTAATTTGTGTGTATATTATGATTATTAACAAAATTATGTCCTTGGAAGCATTACTTTTCAAACCACCCTCATATATAACTACACTATGAAAAGACTATGAATATCATACTTGGGTTTCCTGAAGGCATCACTCTTCTGAGGTCAAATGTCATTTTTAGTGGCTCAGTTCTGAATGAGCTCCAGGATCTCAAGTTGCCAGATGAGTTTTCTTCTGCTTCACTCCGTATGTTCATGGCAGCAGCCGTTTTATTATGAAAACAAGGTGGCTGTGTGATTGTATCAGGAGAATTTGCAGGTTTTAACTTGTCCTTGGATGAATTGTGTTCTTCTGGTGGTAAACTTTCTGTCTTAATCTTTGTGGATGTGAGAACCTCTTTGCTAAAGCATTCCTTCTTCTGTTCAGCCGCAGAAGGATTACCCCTAAGCTTTAATACAGACTCAATTTTGTTAAAGCTATCATCATCTGGCGTTTCTACTTTTATGGACTTAAGGACTGATGCACTTTCTCTTTTCATCTCCATATTGTTACTGGTACTACTAACAACAGGAACTGAAATCTCTGCCACATGTCTGGGTTCATTGCAGGTGGAATTCTGAACATGCCCTGATGATCTATCTGGCTGAAACAGATTTTTACCATAAGGTAATTGTTGGTGTAACAGTCTTGTCTTTGGTTTATCTGGGTATGCCTTGTCTGCTGTATTTCTTATTTGCACGTCATGCTTTCCTGAGTACTGGACTTCGTCACACTGGCTTTGTGAGTTAGCAGTCTGGTCGTTTACAGAATTAACTTTTTGGTGAATCAACTCATTAGTTTTTATATATTCCTTCTGTCTTTTCATGCTGGACTGGTCTGATAATTCCATTTCTGAATCAACACCCTGACTGAAGTTAGCAATAAGTTTTGACAGATTTGGGGGAAGAATATTTTTCTCTATGTTCCCAAACCCTACAGAATTGACAATTCGCTTCTCTAAGCATTGGTGGTTCCAGCTTACAATGTTGACTAAAGGCAACTGGAAGATTCTACCTAAATTCACTTCTACGTCTATTGAAGTAAATGTTTCATAGTCCACCATATTCAACTCTCTGCATTCTTCCAAATTTTTCAAAAACTCTGCTTTCACTTTGGGGCCAATTAAATTAACAGCTTGCAAGTTGCTATCTTTAATCAAATTCTCAGCTGTCAAGCAAAGATTTGACATGTACTCCACACACTGAATTATTTCATCAGAATGACTTTTTAATGTTTCCACTTTTTCATCAATAGTTTTCTGAAGAACATCCTGCAAGTGAGCATCAAATACTATAACAAGCTGATGAAGTTCTTTTATAATTTCTTGTGATTGTCTTTGGGCATTCAGCCCATTTCTCTGCAGCAACGATTGTTTTGGAGTCATGTCAGCTGTTTTGTTTAGATCATTGATGGCTGAGTAACCCTTCTGAAGAAGGTGTCTTATCTCTTCCTTTAGATCCATTATGAGGTTTGCAGAAATACCTACAAATAATGTAAAAGGGAAAGTTCATTAAATGTTACCATTATGTAATTATTATACGTATTAAGAGTGAAAACAATAGAGTTAATCTAAATGTAAATGATACAGTGTATTACCTATTCTCATTTTCTTCAAACTTTTTACTTCCTTAATATTTAGCCTGGCTATATCCAACATTGAACTTTTATTCCACTTGGGCAGCAGGTTACTTTGAAATCCTTGAGTGCCCTGAAATAACTACTGTATGGTTGAGTGGGTTTCTAACATTTACTCCTGTTGGATTCACATTTAAACAGTGACTTTGAGTCAGTGGTGTACTTTGTCAAAAACATATCAAAGATTTTTTTTGTTTATGCCGCAGGGAATGCTGGTGTGAAAGGCAATGAGAGTGCAGACGCCCTGGCTGAAAGTGCGACTATCAGGAATGGACGGGAGAGACATCATCAATGCCATAGGAGAGACTAAACGCTGTGAGGTTTTCAGTTTCGTGGAAAATGATTTTTCACCTAATATACTGCAGACCCTGGGTGTACCACTTGGAGCCGCGAGACGGGAAAAACCATGCTACATCATCCAGAATAGGCTAAAGGTGCTGCAGGCTAAGTCATACCTCAGAGTAGCTGCAGACAGGAAAGACCCTCTGTATGAAGTTTTGGCTGCAGGCAAGGGACAGAGGCTGAAAAGGGGTAAATCATGGACGGTTCAAGCAAAGGTGGAAAATATACCCTAACAGGGCCTCAGTCAGGTGTCAATTGCGCACTTCCAGCGACTATAACGCCACCGCCGAAATGCAAACTTCCGCCATCGCCTAGAGTATCCTGAATGGCGCTCACGCGGTGTGGATTGGGGCTAAACTAGATGGCTAGAACTCACGAGCAAATAGAATAATGAAGGAAGCTGCAGTAGATGCGGTAGCTGCTGCTTGTGTCACAGCCATCTAGTTTAACCCCAATCCATGGATACTCTCGGCGGTGGCGGATGTCGGCGCAGGCGCGCAATTTAAGACGACGGAAGTGCGCAACTGACACGTGACTGAGGCCCTGTAGGACCAAGAAAATATACCCTATTTTCCGCCTCAATAATTTAGGACCGTTATTCGGAGGATAGCCTTCCACTCCACAAATGGTGATATTGTTCTTATTTAACTATTCTTTTCAACAAACATTTTGTAAATTAATAAACATCGCGAAATTAGTATGACATATCAGAAACGGTTCCTGTAAAGTTTACCACCGAATAACATTTTACGCGTTCTTACTTTGCCCTCCCTTGTTTTAACTTTCAAAACGCAGCCATCTTTCACCTACTCTTCAAACTGTCAGAATTACTTAAAAGTGTCACTTTTATCAAATTAAGATAAACACAGTAGTGACTCAAATTTTTAACATATTTTATTTTCACTTTCAATTTTAGTGATCTTGATCTACTACTCAAGCAAAAAACATATGCAGATAGCATCGAAGTGCTACCATGCGATTTTTAATTGAAAAAAATTATAATTAAAAAAAGCCTCTTTTTAATTTGTTTAGCAAACTTTTCAGAACAAAGCGTTTACGATCTATCAAATACTGAAATAGCGTAGAAGGTAGTAGTAGTAGTAATTTAAATAACAATATCTCGTTCAACTATAATTGGGATATAAATACATACATACATACATACACACATACATACATATAGTTCTCCCCCTCCTCCCCCCCCCCCCTCATTTGAATAACGGATATGTATGCCTATTAGTAATGTTTGGAGGACAGAAAATTAGACACGACCATTAAATGTGTAGTATATTTACATAACTGACATCATGAGGGCTAGTAGACTGCAATGGTTAGGTTATATGGAGAGTGGCTGAAAACAAAAGAGAGACCAAAAAAAAAAAAAAAAACCTGTGTACAAATAAGAGCTGACCACGAGGCAGACCAAGAAAACGTGGTCAGATAACATTCAGGCATACCTATAAACACTTGGAGTTACCGAGAGGAAAGAGATAACCAATTATAAGATGAACGGAGACATACACACTATAACATAACACTTGACCCGTTAGGGTCGTAGCGGTGTATTGATGGAAGCGCTAGCACATAAAACCCGCCATCTTTCTCTATCTTCCGCTTGATGAAAATTTGAATGATAACTTAGTTCTGTCCATTTCTTGCTGTAGTCATTCCAGTTCTTCTTGGTACTACTTTTCTTCGACTAACCTCGCCCCCCCCCCCCCACCCCCACCCAAGTTTCTTGAAGCATAGTCTTTTGCAATCGAATTAGGTCTCACCACGTTCTTAAACCAAGCTAGCCTGCGACGTTTCACCACCGCCAAGGGAGGCTCCTGATGTCCTGCAAATTTATATATTATGACTCTGATATATTTAATAGTTTTGTGTTATAAATAACTAATTTGTAAAATGCTTCTACAGCATTTACATTCGAAAGCTCTAATCCTCCTTTCCATTTCCACAGTGAGAGTCCAACTCTCACATCGGTATAAGAAAATAGACACTATCAGTGATCTGTAAACTTGTGTAACCAGTGACCTTACATGCGATGATGATTTTGCTCTTCCATATCGTTTTCATTGGAGACTTATGATATATGCAATAAAGAATCTCGTGAAATCGGAAAGCTGAAAAACAAAAAACAAAATGTGGGGGTTAAAGGTGGGGGGGGAGGGGTGGGGGAGAAAAAACAGCTCAAATGCGCGATCAATATCTGTGAATTCATTGTTCTTGCTAGAGGGGTTATGGAACCGGCCCAGTTACGCGTTTTTATTTGTGGGTATTATACACTGTTCAAATACTTCACCCTGGACCGCTTTACATGTCACGTGACGCGAACAGCAGACGTCAGACAAGTAACAGGCCGCTCAAATTTTAAACCTATGAATGTACTTCTTGGATAAAGGTAAATTATTTAGGCATGATTTTTTTCTTTCAGCGCTACTATTATAGCCCCTTAGGGTTGAGTAGCAGCACATGTTTTGGGAACTTTTTAGTGAGTACCGGCACCTTTTGGTTTTCGGAAAAAGGGAGTGGGGCAAGACCTATTGAACTTTATCAGACGACAGATATTGATCATCATCTAAGTAGCAGCAGCAGCAGTAGTAGCAGTAGTTTAGAAGAAGTAGTTTAGAAGAAGAAGAAGAAGAAGAAGAAGTAGTAGTAGTAGTAGTAGTAGTAGTAGTAGTAGTAGTAGTAGTAGTAGTAGTAGTAGTAGTAGTAGTAGTAGCAGCAGCAGTAGTAGTAATAGTAGTAGTAGAGGTAGTAGTAGTAGTAGTAGTAGTAGTAGTAGTAGTAGTAGTAGTAGTAGTAGTAGTAGTAGTAGTAGTAAGTGCCGCAGCAGAATTTGACAACCAACAGTATACTAGCAGAAGCCCGTTGTGACGGTTGTCTGGTCCGATATATAGCATTTGATGCTATATAGTTTTTCTGTGTTTTCTAGTCAGGTCAGTGTATGATGTCCTGCCAGCCTAACAAACTGTTGCAAGACCCAAGATAATTTATGTATTCTGCTGCTTGGGAAGCAGATGAATGGGATATTTTTCAGTAAATGCCTTTGCTTTGGGGGTTTTATCATATATTAACTGCGTTCAGTCATGCGTGTTATTCACAGTGTTGTTATTCTGCTGATGGGAGTCGCCGTGGCGTGGGCGCCTAGACGCCCGCATGCAGATAGTTAGGTCGTGGGTTTGCATCCTGACGAAGACGGACTTTAAAAAAAAAATTATCTTGACTCCCAGGTCGACCCAGCCTTGAGTAGGTACCAGGTGCAGTCCTTCGAAGTAAAGGCGGTCGACGTGCTACTGACGACATCACCCACCAAGTGCCAATTGGTCTATAAAAATATAGATAGAGCCCTATTCTCCCAATACGCATAAAGCCGTAGAAAGGGGACTTTATATATACCAAGTTGAACGTATACTTTTTAATAAAAATTCTGCCGATAGGTTGAGCCTCATACTTTTTGAATTATGATTAGGAAGCATGTTATATAATTATTATTCCGTTAACTGCGGGTGCTTTCTGCGTCCCTGTGATCATTTTATTATACATTGGTATCTTAGCATACGTACTTAAACTGTTCCTAATCATTGGACTATACCACACTGTATGTATGTATATCAAACGAATTTTCCCCCATAGAAATGAAGGAAGAATTATTAAATCGTTTGTTACTGGCATATTTTTCGTTGATAATACTATAAATTTGAATACATTTATTTACCGCCTACTACGAAAATACATAAATACAAAATACAATTAGAATGGAAATCTAACCTCACATTACCCTCCTGAGAAGAGTTTGGTGCCTACTGTGATGGTACTGAGAAGGGAGGAGAAGATAGTATAGTTTGGAAGGAAAGTCCTCTTACAATAAACTTCAGGGACCTGTCTCTTTTCGTTAATTGGACCTGGTTGAGGCTCCTCAGTTTTACTTTTACTAAAAATCTGCCCGAAGAACTTTACTTCTGCCTTCTCCTCAGGGTTTTTCGAAAATGTGTCAATGGCAAAGTAATTGACATTTCGCCATGGTCTTGTCTCGAGAGAGGCAAACTAAATAGCGCGTGGTGCCACAACTAATTTTTGACTCATACAAACCAAAAGTCGTACGCCAAGCTAACAGTTTCGCGTCCAAACATGATGTATACCAAGTTGAACGTATACCAAAGCGAACGTATGCCGAGGTACCACTGTGTTTGAACTATAATACTTTCCTCCGTTCTGATTCTGAGACTTAGAAATTTAGTTCGTGACAAAATTAGGCTTTAAAAAGGCAGAGCAGAAGATAGTGGACATATATACAGGCGAACCTGCAAATGTTTGGAGTCGCTAAATAGAAAGAGAAGACCAACCACAGAGAATTAGGTGATATCCGCAGCAATACACTTCATGGGCCCAGAATTAAAATTGTCTTCTTCTTCTTCTTCTTCTTCTTCTTCTTCTTCTTCTTCTTCTTCTTCTTCTTCTTCTTCTTCTTCTTCTTCTTCTTCTTCTTCTTCTTCTTCTTCTTCTTTTCTTCTTCTTCTTTTTCTTCTTCTTCTTTTTCTTCTTCTTATGCTTCTGCTTCTTCTTCTTCTTCTTCTTCTTCTTCTTCTTCTTCTTCTTCTTCTTCTTCTTCTTCTTCTTCTTCTTCTTCTTCTTCTTCTTCTTCTTCTTCTTCTTCTTCTTCTTCTTCTTCTGCTTCTACTTCTTCTTCTTCTTGATCATTTTCTTTCTTTCCCTTAAAGAGGAAATCGTAAATTATGCTTGCAAACTATTCACAGAATAAGGAACCTATATTTTCGTGTCATCTTTATGTTTTCTGACACACATTGTAAACGCTATTTTTCTGCTTCTTTTGATGGCAGCAGTCAATATTGCATGCTTTTCAAGTGTAAATTTTTCAAGCCACACTGTCTATTTATGTAGGTATATAGGTAAAACATCAAATATTTGATTATTTTATAGTTCACTCTCTTTGCATACTCACATCTTGTGATATTTGTTTTTATATTTAGTCTTACATTGAGAAACTGTTCATTGTTAATTTAAAGATCATCATCACTGGATACGACCATGAGTGAGACACTGTTATTTGAGTGTAATCTACAGAGTATTTCGAGTGTTTTACTTAACATTTTTGTCATCTTTGATTTACAAACTAGTTTCCTTGGATACAGAATGGACTCATCAAACAAACCAGCACAGGACATGAAAAACTACAGTCATAATGCTGCTGTAGAGGCAGTCAGTTCTATGAACAGAGAACTTCAGACCCTGTATGAAAAATACTTGGAACTCGGTGGTATGTCATCACATGATTTATGAAACTGACAGACAGAATATATCAACCCAGTTAGCCATTCAATGTGTTGGGTCATAATGTAAACGAGAGGTGGGTGTGGGGGGGGGGGGGTGGTTGTTGTTTGTGTCTCCATGGCTAGGCGGTTAAGCTGTTTCTCTCGTGCTCTTCTTCTTCTGCGTTCGATATCAGTCATGCTAAACATTGATTCCCGTCTGGGTCACAAATAGGATTGTGCGTTCAAGGTCGTTTAAGGTTTAATCCTGAAAATAAACCTCAACTGTCGAAGTCGGAAGATGTCAGCCTACTTGGCACGAAACTAAAAATCGGACATCTACGCACTAGCGATATGGTCTCGTGCTCTGAGATCATGAGTTCGTTACATAGATTGTATCGTTCAGTTCAAAAGTATAATTTGTACTATGATCCATGGAGATTGTCGCTGCGGACACGGAGTTAGTTTAAGCAACCCTTTCGGCAGGCGGCTAGCCGTTTTGTGGAGAGAGACACAACCACTTAAAGACAATCCTCTGGGCTTAAGGGCGTTCGCACTTAGAAGGAGGTAGGGGTGCAACTGGGAGCAAGGCCATTGTTAACCCGTGTCTTGTTGGAGCTCAGATGTTAGAATACAACGTGTAAATATACATTTCTGCCGTAAAAAGGGGGAGGGGGGAAGGGGAAGAGAGGGGGGAGGTAAGTATTACAGAAACATATTTCTAAACTAGCCTGGCTTTTTGACGCAAGAAAGTAATACCGTCCACATGTCATGCAAACAGTCCTCTCCAAAAAAGTTTATAAGATAGATTTTTTTACTGTGCCATTTCATAAATTCTTTTCTTTGATCACTTGCACTATTTGTCTGTTTTAAACTTTACCAGAAAATGGTATAGTATCAGGTCTGTCCTCGCACTGCCACAGACTTCCACAATACGTTGTGCCCGTTTGCTATGGCTGTGATATTTTCGCATTTCGTCTGACACATCCGACTTCTGCAGGCATTTGTTGCCCAGGTTACCGTCTCAGATTTCAGTAGCTTATACATCCTTACTAAAAGCAGTCATACACACCATAGGCATTATTTAACCCTTGTTTCACTAACAGTGATACATGATAGGGCAGACTTGGTTAGTGCCTTGTGGGAAAGCGTGTACAATTCGGAGGAGCAGATGGACCACCACAGTCTGGCGAGATTAAAGCAGTTGGAGGTGACGAGAGGTTCTGGCAGATGCTCGAGGCTCAGAGGAAAGGCAAGACGGACGTTTAATCAGAATGCTAGTATCGGAACTCTTCGCTGGCTGCTGAAGATAGGGACGGAGCGCTTATGGGAATGCCCCGAGTTCTGTGATGTCGGTTCTTGAATCAAATCAAATCACTAACAGTAAATCAGATAACAGTGACACTGGCATTAGTAATACTGGCAAGCCATCAGATCGCAGAAGTTATTGTCGGCAATTCCATCCTTATAAAAGGATTACATTTCCACTTGTTCTTCTATAAACTCTCCTTCTGCGTATTTCGTGTCAGTGTATTATAATAAAAAAATTATAATAATGATCCACCGATGGCAGCCGAACTACAGCCTGAATTTACCATCCCCAGTACTTTCTTCACTAGCTGCTCGTGTGTTTCTTTGGTGCCTTTCCATTTGTAGTAATGATACACTCAGATCCCAGCCCATGGCGATGGCGAGTGGGGATATCAAGACCTGTGCATCAAGAAAGTCTTCCACAATGAGAGCAAGGCTTTTCAGGATGACACAAGACACAGACAGACACTGGCTTTAGTTTGAGTACCATCGCTGTGTCTGTCAGGACACTGCAATTGTTGTTAAGAAATTAAAAATAAACCAACTACCTTTGTTGTATCAGTCTAGAGAAGAGATTTTGGTTTATCCCAAAAGATAAACATATAAAATGTACAAGAATTAATACCTTAACAAATGTTGCATATTTGTTTCTCTATCTAGTTCGAAGTCATTTGTTAGAAGTTGACCTTGCTACACAGTTCAGCCCTGATGTAGTTCTTGTCCTAGAGGATTTGAATGAGAGCTGTAAAACCTGCAGTCAAGCAGTAGAAGAGCTAATGAATGTTGGTGAAATCTCTGAAGAACACAAGAAGAATGTGGATGATCATATGCAAGATAACGTTTAGACAGAAACATAAAACACACTGAGAACTGTAACACCACTCAGCAACAACACCTTGTTCAACATCAGAGAGAGAGAGAGAGAGAGAGAGAGAGAGAGAGAGAGAGAGAGAGAGAGAGAGAGAGAGAGAGAGAGAGAGATTTTGGTAATCTTAGTTTCAGCTTCATAGCAAACTGGTCGCCCTATAGTTGCTCGCTCCTGTGCCAACAAAAACGCACATAATGTTTATTACAGTCCCTTGTGGAAAGATTGACAGACTGCTGTCTCAGCATATGCACTAGCATATACACGCATTAAAAGCATACAATAGCCATCTGAAGTGCTAACACAAACAGTCCGACATTAGAAATGCAGTTTAGCATCGATGGTAGCAGAAGTCACCAACAGATCAGCAGTTACACACGCGATCAATTTTAACCGCATAATGGCACCACCAATATTGCGACAACAGGCATTGCGCCATTTTCTGAATCTACAATTCACACCACCACTTTGGTCACAGTCGAAAAATATTCTAAATGAAATCCGCAGCTCAAAGTGTCGTGCCATGCCCTCAACTCAGAAGCTGGGTGACAAAACTATATCCTTTCAGTCTACAAATAGAGCAAAAATGCAACCGTCACCGTCTGGCAGAAGCAAAAGATTTGCCACGACTCAAAACAGTGACCGTGAATAGCGTCCATTTTGACCGGAAGTCAGAGAGAGAGAGAGAGAGAGAGAGAGAGAGTGAGAGAAAGATATTTGTTTTGTTATTGCTTTGTACGCTCAAAGTGAAAGAAATATGTTAAATTTCATTTTCTTTTCAGCCACCAGTCTCTAGGTATTTCATATTCCTCTGGCAATTTTCAGACGTTTATTATTATTTTATTTCTATTGTCTGCTTTATTCAGTAATGAACTGTCCTATCACCATTTTTCATTTGCACACACTCTCTCTCTTTCTCATTATCTGTCTTTCCATAATTAATATTCCATTTACTTACCAATCTATCTTCAAATTTAGTTCCACTAAAGTACTAGTTCTACCACAACACATTTTTACACATGTGAGCTCATTCTTACTGCATGATCTGTTAGCTGTGCATCCTTTACAGGACATTGGGAACCAATCCAAGCATTTTTTGGCTGCTGTGGTTTTTCAAATTTACGTCCAGTAATTTGGCATGATCTGTTACGAATAATATACAATGTTAGCACTGAACATTCTCAAAGGACTAGATACAGTAAGTTCAGTAACAATTATTTTGAAAAATAACACAGAATCCACAGTGCAAATTTTAATTTATTTTATTACCAGCATGATTACAATGTGCAATTGATAATTTAAATACCACCAAAGTTACTGGTAAGAGACAGCATGCATTTAGAATGAAGGGAAGTGTGTAACTGCAGAAACAAAACTTAGAATAAGAATTTGGAAATCCTAATTTAAGTAGCAGTAACAAAATAATTTTTTTGGGGGAAAAAATGACTATGCTGACATAACCGGCAATTGAATGAAGTTTAATCCCACCAGGACTGCACAACGAGCTATAAACACCTGGTGACACAAAGTACTGCCCCCCCCCCCCTGACAATAGCAGCACATGCCAGATGATACTTTTTCACTGTGTACAAAAAATGCTCAGCTTTTGGATAACAACTTTATTCAGTTTAAGCTATCAGAAACAGTTTTTGGTCCAGTTTCATGCTGTGTTGCATTTTAATGCTTGAGTTGTTTCTTCATTAAAAAGTAAATTTTAAACATGACATTTTGACTCATCCTGTGAATTGTTTGTGGACCTAATGGGTAATCGGGTAACAGTCAGCAAGCATGATACTACACATCAACTTCAAAACAAACTTAATGAAAATGGTTGTTTCCATGTTTTTTCTTCTAGAAAAATAGGTGCTTGTACTCACTAAAAGGTGTCTAAAAAGGTGCCGGTACTCATATTATAAGAGAAAAAAGCCCTAGCTGTTTACAAAGATTTAACATACCTAAAGATTAAAATGATCTTAAAGCATATACTACTGTAAGGGTGGTTATAAGTTATGAATTAGATTATCTTTACAGCACTCCTGACACATCCATAGGTGCTTAGATTCCTCCTTCAACATATTCATCAGCATCAAGTGGTTAATAGTCCCAGCCCAATCCTGGTTGCACAAGACTTCTTGTTCTTCCGGTGAGTCTCTCATGCTTGGCTGTGTTGATCTTTATTCCCTATTCTCGTACTCTTAGCAGCCATGTGGACATGATGCTTCCAAAATCCTTGGAAAGTCCTATCTATCTAAGGGCATTGACAACATCTACATTATCCAAAGGCCGGCTATCTGCACCCAATGCAGATCTATCAGCTCTTTCATTGTCAACAACACCTGCATACCCTGGGACAAATATAAAGGTGACTGCACACACAGAAGACTCAATGACTCAATCTAACGACTGCGTATGGAGCATGTCTCGACTCACCAGATCCTACTCATAGAATTACTCAGCACACACACGCAGGAATAGTCCTGTGATTCTAGCCCCATGAAAGCCTATAATCACTGCCATCACCTTCATCCTTATACTACTGGTAGTCATAGAGAAGGCATTGCTGGCTTCTTGGACTGTTCTGACAGCAGAGTGAGCTGTAAATGTCCATGCACCCACATACTAGGTCATGGTATATAAAGTGGGGTGGGCAATTCCTTTCCTCATTACATCTCCTGCCTATAAAACTAACATCTGATTATCTGGAACCCATTTTTATGAGAACAAGGTGACTAGTCAAGCTAATTCCAAGAAATTAATCCACTGAACTGTGATTAAAAAAAGCCTAATGAAAAAGGGGAAAGGAAAATACACATACAAACAAAAAGACATTTTGGCAACAACATCAGTAAAGGGCATTTTACTAAATTTGCCCTTTGTTGCTGCTGTTGTAGTTTATGTTGAGAAAGGCTTTTTTGTGTGTGGAAAGTTTACGTTGCACCACTTTCCCATTTTTATGAAGCTGTGCCTAGAGCTATACTGGTCTTAAAAATCCTACCACTTTTGACATGTGGGCATGAATTGTGTGGGTTTTTGGAATCGTTACAACGCAGTGGTCAATTGTGTTTAAGACCGTATATATAGCTCACAATGTGCGCATGATAAAGCAACACAATTTGCGGTGAACACTATTCACTGCCTACGCAACAGAAACCCTATAAAAGGATAATGCTACACCAAAATGATCAGTTCATTTTCAAGCAGTCCTGAATGGCCCCTCGACTGATCAATTCAAGGAATATTGCTAATGGCCGATTGCAGGCAATAGAAAGTCAAAGTCAGGTTGCCAGGTATCTAAACGTGCATCAGAGTACCATCAGTCGAGATGCCAGTCACTGATCCACGCAAGAAGAGGCCACACACCATACTAATTGGTGGAAGCTTAACGTATTCTTGCCTGAAATTTGAGTAATTTCACTTACTGCATTACAAAGATGCAGAATGTCAAAATTGTGAGTATGTTTGTTCCTTTCAGTAACTATGCGTTTTTTTTTTAAACAGTTTATATTCATATTTAGTGAAAGAAATACTAGGATATTAGTGACAAATGAAATACAAAAGTATACAGAAATAATAAAACTGCTTATTAATTAAAATGATATGAAAATTTTGTAAGCTATTTTACAAACTAGCATAATACCCACAACAAAAGAATCCAATGAATACAAATGGAAAAGTATGTAAGGGACTAGGAATGAATGGACATTCATTTTATAGGATTTCAATGACTTCTATATTTCTTTTTCATCTTGCCTTGGTATACAGGAAAGGAAACACTTCAGACAACATGAAAGGAGATTTGTTACAGAACAGATAGCAGGAGTTCTGACGGCTACAGTATTTATACCATAACAAGATGTATTTTGATATCATGGACAAGCCAAAAGATTCACTGAAGCCTCGGAGACATGGTTTGACAGAAGAATGCTTGAAATTCCTAGAACAGCAGAATGAGTAATCTAAATATTTTGAAAGTGGCTAATATATGAATGCAATGTATAATAAACATCAGAAACAGACAGTCATATTTATGAAAAAAGAGAGAGAGAGGGGAATAAAGAAGATTCTTGACAGTCTTTTGACACTGCATGGAAGGGTGTCAGCACACAAACTGATACATGTCATTGGTTATTGCAGTATGTGGCGAAGCAGAACTGTTAGTTAGTGAGGCACATGATGACAATAACCAGAATGAGGAGCTTTAGAAAGAAACCTCATGCACAATGTGGTTTCACATTGCCTGAAGGTCTTGAGTTCAAGTCTGCATTGTAAAGTAAGTTAAAAAAAAAGTAAAGGACCCTTTTCCACTCCTTTAGCATGTAGGGCATACAGGGCTAGACCTATATGTTTATAGACCAATCGGAACAAGATGGGTGATGTGGTCAGCATCATGCCGGCCACTTTTACTTCCCATGACTGCACCCAGTACCCACTCAAGGCTGGGTCGACCTGGGAGCCAAGGTCGTTTTCACACTGCGACTCCCTGTCTGCATTGAGTCCGATTTAAAAAAAAGAAATTATCTTGGCTCGCAGCCAGCCTTAAATGGATAAGATAGTAAGAGTGGGCTGCATGATATTGACCATATAGCCCCCTAACTGGTCTATAAAAATAGGACTCGCATCACATGCCTGATTGGCTACTGGTGTAAACAAAACAAAAAAGTACATCACTTGATTTATGCTGGATAATAATTTTTCTAGCAACAGAATTGTAAAAATATGTGTCTATAAAATATAATTTCATGAATATGGATGAACTGTAAGTAAAGGATCCTTTTCATACTAGTGGTCCCTGGTCATTGGGTAGTGAGATCGGACGTCTGTGTGCATTGTTGCGCATGTAAAAAAAAATCCCTTGGCAGATGGGAAAAAATCATTAGCCTAACGGCGCTGCCCAGGCAAAAGTTAGAGTTAAAAATCTACCCAAAGTATTTCAGGATCCGTGCCAGTGCTACAGAACCTGTGCACCGTGCTCAGGTTCTT